CTCCCCTCCTGCCCCCACCTCTCTTGGATGGAAGAACCAAAAGTTTAAGAATGCATAGAAATTAATCAAGTTGAATATAATCAACACGATGACGTTTGTAGGCTTTATGTGGGGGATCCTTGTGTAAAATGCATATGCACTGAGAGAAAGAGAGCGCTACTGTGATGACTGCGCGCCCCCTCCTCTTTCACACTCTCTCTCTCTATCCCTCTCTCCCTCCCTCCTCTCTCTTTCCCCCCCTCACATCTCGTCCGAGGCTCGCGGAGGGAGGACGGACAGACTCAGAGCGGCTCCACACATCGCAAGCGGAGGAGGAGAGAGCAAGAAGGATGCTCCAGTCGCGGTGACATCTCCCCAACTCTCTCACTGAGACCATCAGAAAGTCCCCCCTTGTCTTCCTTATCAATCATTCTGTGGATAAACACTAGACAAATCTGAGGTGGGGGGGGATTGCTCCGAACTGGACTGGAACAGCAAGCTGCGGATGGTTTATTTCTTGGCTGTGAAGGATTTTTTTTTTTCTCCTTGCTTGGGACACGCGCGGACTCAAGGAGGTAAGAGAAGCGCTTGATTTCTCTCCTCACCCCTGCACATGAGAGGCTCTTCTCGAGAGCATGAGTGTGAAATGCTCCCCCGGGTGCCCATTTGGGTGCTCGCTTTGGCGCAAAACGGGCCAAATTGCGCACGCACGGTACGATTTGACGCACGCCGTGACGCATCCGGAGAGACGCGTATTGTCACGCTTCGTGCGTGGATTGAATTCTTTGTATTCTTCGGTGTTGTTCAAACATTTGCGGTACAGCGTGGCACCCGGCGTGCGTTTGCGCGTGACTGCGACGCGCAACTTTTATTTTTCCTTGGCGGTGGTTCTACAGACCTATCATCGCTGCTTGGCTCGGATCAGTCCCTTCTAACCGATTTGGAATATTGGAAGAATTGTTGGAATGAAAAAGAAAAATGGAAAATGAGATCATTTGACGGGGCAGCACTTCTCTGCCAATCAATACTCTGATTGAGGACCGCTCCTGTGGTTTGGTTTTGCAACTAAATTTAAAAAGTAAAGGCGGTGTGTAATTACTGTACTTGTCATATAATGTGCTTAGATTTTTTTTCTTCTTCTTCTTCATTTTTGTGGCTTTGCCACTCCTTGTCTTGTGATGTGCATCAGCCTCGATTGTTTATCGCTGCTCACCAGCAGCTCTTTTTCTCATGGCTGTGAAAGTTTCGAAGCACTCGCCATAGATTTCATCACTCTAGCGGACACTTTAAAGATTTCCTTTTTTTATGGGGTTTTAGTCGGATAATTCATTCTGCTGACATCCAAAGCAGTGTAGTAGCTGAGAGGAGAATGCCGGACGGAAGCTCAGGTGGTGACATCTCCCAGCCTCTTTCTTTTTTTTAAATCTTTCTGCAACTATTGCAGAATCATCTTGTTGCATTCAAGTCAAAGAAACCGGCACAGGGACGATGTTTCCGGAAAACGTTGGTTACAGTTCGTTCATGTGAACATCCGAAGAGTTAAACGCCGGGTTGGTTCCATGAATGCAGTACAATGACTCAGTGTCAATCGAATGGCCAGCTATTGATTTTAAACGTAACAGTAATGTATTCAGTATTCCAGTCATTAGACAGCTCCTCAATGCGCTTCGAGGGTCTTGGCAAGGGACTCTTTGGAATCTTTGAAAGATTCCCCGACATGTTTGGAACGAGTTGAAAGAGCCTTAGTGAAGCTCTTGAGGTTACCGCGGAGGGCTTGAGGAGGGGGGGGGG